TCAAACTTTGCAGGATGGTTCAGACGTACATGCTAGGCATGGAACCACAGGCGATGATGCCATAGCTGACACACAGAGTAACACCCACAGCAGATTCGTGTGCACAGATACTAAATTAGTGGACGACGTCATCTTCTTCCCACTGATCTCAAATGTACTATGACGTGCCATTTCGCCTGACGGGGTAGTGTGGATGAGGGTGGTGTGGATGAGGGTGGTGTGGATGAGGGTAGTGTGGATCAGGGTAGTGTGGATCAGGGTAGTGTGGATCAGGGTAGTGTGGATCAGGATTGTGTGGATCAGGGTGGAGTGGATCAGGGTAGTGTGGATCAGGGTTGTGTGGATCAGAGTAGTGTGGATCAGAGTAGTGTGGATGAGGGTGGTGTGGATGAGGGTAGTGTGGATCAGGGTAGTGTGGATCAGGGTGGTGTGGATGAGGGTGGTGTGGATCAGGGTAGTGTGGGTAAGGGTTGTGTGGATCAGGGTAGTGAGGATCAAGGTAGTGTGGATCAGGGTGGTGTGGATAAGGGTGGTGTGGATCAGGGTAGTGTGGATGAGGGTGGTGTGGATCAGGGTAGTGTGGATCAGGGTAGTGTGGATGAGGGTGGTGTGGATGAGGGTGGTGTGGATCAGGGTAGTGTGGATCAGGGTGGTGTGGATCAGGGTAGTGTTGATCAGGGTAGTGTGAATCAGGCTGGTGTGGGTCAGGGTAGTGTGGATCAGGGTAGTGTGGATGAGGGTAGTGTTGATCAGGGTAGTGTAGATCATGGTAGTGTTGATCAGGGTGGCGTGGGTCAGGATAGTGTGGTTCAGACTAGTGTGGATGAGGGTAGTGTGGATCAGGGTAGTGTGGATCAGGGTAGTGTGGATCACGGTAGTGTAGATCAGGGTAGTGTAGATCAGGGTGGTGTGGATGAGGGTGGTGTGGATCAGGGTAGTGTGGGTCAGGGTATTGTGGATGAGGGTAGTGTAGATCAGGGTAGTGTGGATGAGGGTAGTGTGGATGAGGGTAGTGTGGATCAGGGTAGTGTGGATCAGGGTAGTGTGGGTCAGGGTGGTGTGGATCAGGGTAGTGTGGATCAAGGTGGTGTGGATCAGGGTGGTGTGGATCAGGGTCACTGAGTGTGGATCAGGGTAGTGTGGATCAGGGTGGTGTGGATCACGGTAGTGTGGATCAGGGTAGTGTGAATCAGGGTGGTGTGGATCAGGGTAGTGTAGATCATGGTAGTGTTGATCAGGGTGGTGTGGGTCAGGATAGTGTGGTTCAGACTAGTGTGGATCAGGGTGGTGTGGATCAGGGTAGTGTGGATCAGGGTAGTGTGGATCAGGGTGGTGTGGATCACGGTAGTGTAGATCAGGGTGGTGTAGATCAGAGTAGTGTAGATCAGGGTGGTGTGGATGAGGGTGGTGTGGATCAGGGTAGTGTGGGTCAGGGTATTGTGGATGAGGGTAGTGTAGATCAGGGTAGTGTGGATGAGGGTGGTGTGGATGAGGGTAGTGTGGATGAGGGTAGTGTGGATGAGGGTAGTGTGGGTCAGATTAGTGTGGATCAGGGTAGTGTGGATCAGGGTGGTGTGGATCAGTGTGTTGTGGAACAGGTCATTGTGGATCAAGGTGGTGTGGATCAGGGTGGTGTGGATCAGGGTTACTGAGTGTGGATCAGGGTAGTGTGGATCAGGGTAGTGTGGATCAGGGTAGTGTGAATCAGGGTGGTGTGGAGCAGGGTAGTGTGGATCAGGGTAGTGTGGATCAGGGTAGTGTTGATCAGGGTGGTGTGGATCAGGGTAGTGTGGATTAGGGTAGTATGGATCAGGGTAGTGTGGATCAGGGTAGTGTGGGGCAGGGTAGTGTGGATCAGGGTAGTGTGGATCAGGGTGGTGTGGATCAGTGTGGTGTGGAAGAGGGCAGTGTGGATCAAGGTGGTTTGGATCAGGGTGGTGTGGATCAGGGTCACTGAGTGTGGATCAGGGTAGTGTGAATCAGGGTGGTGTGGATCAGGGTAGTGTGGATGAGGGTAGTGTGGATGAGGGTAGTGTGAATCAGGGTAGTGTGGGTCAGGGTAGTGTGGATCAGGGTGGTGTGGATCAGGGTAGTGTGGATCAGGGTAGTGTGAATCAGGGTAGTGTGGATCAGGGTAGTGTGGGTCAGGGTAGTGTGGATCAGGGTAGTGTGGATCAGGGTGGTGTGGATCAGTGTGGTGTGGAACAGGGTAGTGTGGATCAGGGTGGTGTGGATCAGGGTCACTGAGTGCGGATCAGGGTAGTGTGGATCAGGGTAGTGTGAATCAGGGTGGTGTGAATCAGGGTAGTGTGGATCAGGGTGGTGTGGATGAGGGTAGTGTTGATCAGGGTAGTGTGGATCATGGTAGTGTGGATCAAGGTGGTGTGGATCAGGGTGGTGTGGACCAGGGTCACTGAGTGTGGATCAGGGTAGTGTGAATCAGGGTGGTGTGGATCAGGGTAGTGTAGATCATGGTAGTGTGGATCAGGGTGGTGTGGGTCAGGATAGTGTGGTTCAGACTAGTGTGGATCAGGGTAGTGTGGATCAGGGTAGTGTTGATTAGGGTAGTGTGGATCAGGGTAGTGTGGATCAGGGTGGTGTGGATCAGGGTAGTGTGGATCAGGGTAGTGTGAATCAGGGTGGTGTGGATCAGGGTTGTGTGGATCAGGGTAGTGTGGATCAGGGTAGTGTTGATCAGGGTGGTGTGGATCAGGGTAGTGTGGATCAGGGTAGTGTGGATCAGGGTAGTGTGGATCACGGTAGTGTAGATCAGGGTGGTGTGGATCAGGGTGGTGTGGATCAGGGTGGTGTTGATCAGGGTAGTGTGGGTCAGGGTATTGTGGATGAGGGTAGTGTAGATCAGGGTAGTGTGGATGAGGGTTGTGTGGATGAGGGTGGTGTGGATGAGGGTAGTGTGGATCAGGGTAGTGTGGGTCAGGGTGGTGTGGATCAGGGTAGTGTGGATCAAGGTGGTGTGGATCAGGGTGGTGTGGATCAGGGTCACTGAGTGTGGATCAGGGTAGTGTGGATCAGGGTGGTGTGGATCAGGGTAGTGTGGATCAGGGTAGTGTGGATCAGGGTAGTGTGAATCAGCGTGGTGTGGATCAGGGTAGTGTAGATCATGGTAGTGTTGATCAGGGTGGTGTGGGTCAGGATAGTGTGGTTCAGACTACTGTGGATCAGGGTGGTGTGGATCAGGGTAGTGTGGATCAGGGTGGTGTGGATCAGGGTAGTGTGGATCAGGGTAGTGTGGATCAGGGTAGTGTGGATTAGGGTAGTGTGGATCAGGGTTGTGTGGATCAGGGTGGTGTGGATCAGGGTAGTGTGGATCAGAGTAGTGTGGATCAGGGTAGTGTGGATCAGGGTAGTGTGGATCAGGGTGGTGTGGATCAGTGTGGTGTGGAAGAGGGCAGTGTGGATCAAGGTGGTGTGGATCAGGGTGGTGTGGATCAGGGTCACTGAGTGTGGATCAGGGTAGTGTGGATCAGGGTGGTGTGGATCAGGGTAGTGTGGATCAGGGTAGTGTGGATCAGGGTAGTGTTGATCGGGGTGGTGTGGATCAGGGTAGTGTGGATCAGGGTAGTGTGGATCAGGGTAGTGTGGATCACGGTAGTGTAGATCAGGGTGGTGTGGATCAGGGTGGTGTGGATCAGGGTAGTGTGGGTCAGGGTAGTGTGGATCACGGTGGTGTAGAGCAGGGTAGTGTGGATGAGGGTGGTGTGGATGAGGGTAGTGTGGATGAGGGTAGTGTGGATCAGGGTAGTGTGGGTCAGGGTAGTGTGGATCAGGGTAGTGTGGATCAGGGTGGTGTGGATCAGTGTGGTGTGGAACAGGGCAGTGTGGATCAAGGTGGTGTGGATCAGGGTGGTGTGGATCAGGGTCACTGAGTGTGGATCAGGGTAGTGTGGATCAGGATGGTGTGGATCAGGGTAGTGTGAATCAGGGTGGTGTGGATCAGGGTAGTGTGGATCAGGGTAGTGTGGATCAGGGTAGTGTTGATCAGGGTGGTGTGGATCAGGGTAGTGTGGATCAGGGTAGTGTGGATCAGGGTAGTGTGGATCAGGGTAGTGTGGATCAGGGTAGTGTGGATCAGGGTGGTGTGGATCAGTGTGGTGTGGAAGAGGGCAGTGTGGATCAAGGTGGTGTGGATCAGGGTGGTGTGGATCAGGGTCACTGAGTGTGGATCAGGGTAGTGTGGATCAGGGTGGTGTGGATCAGGGTAGTGTGGATGAGGGTAGTGTGGATGAGGGTAGTGTGAATCAGGGTAGTGTGGGTCAGGGTAGTGTGGATCAGGGTGGTGTGAATCAGGGTAGTGTGGATCAGGGTAGTGTGAATCAGGGTGGTGTGGATCAGGGTAGTGTGGATCAGGGTAGTGTGGGTCAGGGTAGTGTGGATCAGGGTAGTGTGGATCAGGGTGGTGTGGATCAGTGTGGTGTGGAACAGGGTAGTGTGGATCAGGGTGGTGTGGATCAGGGTCACTGAGTGCGGATCAGGGTAGTGTGGATCAGGGTAGTGTGAATCAGGGTGGTGTGAATCAGGGTGGTGTGGATCAGGGTAGTGTGGATCAGGGTAGTGTGGGTCAGGGCAGTGTGGATCAGGGTAATTTGGATCAGGGTGGGGTGGATCAGGGTAGTGTGGATTAGGGTGGGGTGGATCAGGGTGGTTTGGGTCAGGGTAGTGTGGATGAGGGTAGTGTGGATGAGGGTAGTGTGGATCAGGGTAGTGTGGATGAGGGTAGTGTGGATCAGGATGGTGTGGATCAGGGTAGTGTTGATCAGGGTAGTGTGGATCATGGTAGTGTGGATCAAGGTGGTGTGGATCAGGGTGGTGTGGACCAGGGTCACTGAGTGTGGATCAGGGTAGTGTGGATCAGGGTGGTGTGGATGAGGGTAGTGTGGATCAGGGTAGTGTGGATCAGGGTAGTGTGGGTCAGGGTAGTGTGGATCAGGGTTGTGTGGATCGGGTCACCGCCAATAAGTGTTCACACAAGTTCTACTCACAAATGCACGGAGAATGTCGGGTTGACGAATCCAGTAGCAATATAGCGTATATTGTTATCCTCTAGTGTACTGAAAACAAAGAGTACAAGCCATACAGTGTGGACATTCTCGCTGCCAACAACTGGTCACATTACATCAGTATTGTGCTAAGTGTTGTACATGTGGCTGTGCTTGTAGCTCTTAGTCGTACAAGCTGCTGCGTTTGTGTCTCTTTGTTGTACATTCTGCTGCACCCTGGCGCACGCTGCTGCGCTGTCTTGGACTCCTGCGTACATGCCGTACGCCATTTTGGCATTCTGCTCTTCTGCCACTCGTAGGAATTACTTGGGCCATGCAGTATCCTGTGCTATGTCTAGCGAGAGAACTGGTAGTACAGGTGGTGAGTTGTATGTACAGTGCTGGCAACTGAAATCCGACCGCCTGAGCGGTGCGCTCACATCGCAAAGACCCAACATGGGATGGTAAAACTACCAAAAAAGTGAACCCACCGCTCGGGAGGTCGGATTTCATTTGCCAGCGTTGTATGTATGTGTGTCTGTGTGCCAAGTACTGTCGTGGACATGGAAATCCGGTCGCACGTCTAGCGGCCCCAGAGCGCTTGCCATGCAGCCATGGACAAGCGGTACACACAAGCACCTGCACATGCATCGGATCAACATGTGCACTGCACGCAGCGTTCTGAACGCGTTGAGGGCGCCGGCCCAGGTCAATCGACTGGATTTCCATGTCCGCTATAGTAGTTTGATTGGTGGGCACACTTATGCGAGATAGTGTTGGGTCTGTTGGCAACAGGCTCGGCTGTTTGAAAGTGTAATGTTGTACCTGCCACCTTTGTTGGTTTCGGGGTTCATATACTTTCTATTTGAAGTATACATATCTGATAACCATGGACTGCTTCTGGCTATAGTAACTCTTGTGTAATCAATGGTGCTAGTGTATATAATTATATCAGATCCACTCTGATTTAGCCACCCACATTTGTATGGTATGGTATGGTATTTTTTTAATTCACCAATCGAACAGGCATATCTGCCTTCTTGCCGGGATGGCCAGAGCCAACCACGGCTCCTACTAATTGATGGATATGATAATGTGAAGCAAAAGAAAAGAAAAAAATTGTACTTTGTCAGCTATATGTTCCGTACTAAAAGTATGGAGAGGGCAGTATGTGGATTCCATATTGAAGGGCTATGGATAGTGAAGATGCTACTTGTGTTTTATGATAAAAGTACAGGGAGAGAGAGAGACAGAGAAAGGGGGGGGGGGAGAAAGAGAGAGAGAGAGAGAGAGAGAGAGAGAGAGAGAGTGTGTGTGTGTGTGTGTGTGTGTGTGAGAGAGAGAGAGAGAGAGAGAGAGAGAGAGAGAGAGAGAGAGAGAGAGAGAGAGAGAGAGAGAGAGAGAGAGAGAGAGAGAGAGAGAGAGAGAGAGAGATAGATAGATAGATAGATAGATAGATAGATAGATAGATAGATAGATAGATAGATAGATAGATAGATAGATAGATAGATAGATAGATAGTTAGATAGAGAGATAGACGTAGAGAGAGAGATATAGATGAACGAGATAGAGAAGGAAGAAGAGGAAGACTTGCCGAATGATCAAGTCTTGCATTTGTAGCACGCATTGCCTTCAGTGGGGGTAGGGGTAACTTCAGTTGGATCCTGAGACGGATACCCTGATCCTGTCAATACTTTGTCTGCACCTTGTCCTCACCCACTTAATGAGGTGTGGTGAGCCCATAAGTGGGATCATTTCCAAGTCCACCCATAGTTTGCAGGCGCGTAGCACTGCCACTGGAGGTGGTCCGGTCGGAGGGGCTTCGGGGGTCTCTCCGGGGATTTTTGAAATTAGGGTGCAAAATCCTGCATTCTGGGCACTTTTGGCCGTGGTCGGGCGAAAAAGTGGTCCGGCCAAAGCCTGACCGGTCGGACCGGCTGCTACTCCCCTGGTTTGGGGATTTCAGAGGGTGTCGCCGTTGGGCGGTTCAATATCCTTTTGAGTCTCTCTCCCCTCTCCAGAGGAGACCCGCGAGACCAGTTTTGGCAGTGAGCAAGTACAAGTACTAGTACAAGAACGTGTGTGTGTGCGTGTGTGTTTGCGTGTATATGTGCGCACGTGTGTGTGTGTGTGTGTGTGTACTATTTCGACATTGTCACTCCTGCGTTGGCCGTGGTCTGCCAGTCGCTGTGCAGTAGCTATCCCCCAAATACTATACTATGTCATCTAAGCCCAAAGATAGCAGAGTCGGGGATTGCGGATTGGTTTCTGGAGTACTGAGAAGAGTTGTTTACAGTGAAGTGGACACGCGAATACGAAGAGGAAGGTCTCAATTGCGGAATGGAATCAATTTCACAATCACTACTGCTCACATTGCTGGCCAGTCTAACTGCATCGCCGATTCGCTGTCTCATTTCCGTATGAAGGAATTCCGGCGTCTCAGCCCAGCTGCTCAAGCACCACCAGACCGAGCAGTGCTGCCATTCCAGTTGATGTAGTAAGGCCTTGACATACAGGTACCGATTGTCATTGCTAATTTGCCGTATTGAGAACCTGCGCTGGATTTCATACATCTGCATGCCTAACTTTATCCATCTCGTGCCTTAATCACTTGTTCTTAGCTCTCGTGCATTGGTGGTGAACGCTTGGTGGGGTGCCGTGTGCTTGTTTTCAGGGAATAGCTTCCTTCAACTGGTTGCTTTACTGCTACTATCTCGACTGTATACTATTGGCGGTTGTTTGCGACCCCAATCAGCAGTTATTGCGTCCGGTCGCGGGTACTATTGCCGCTCAAGCATGAGCGATTGCTTTGGCTGTTTGCAACCCCAAATGCTTCACCCTGGTTGGCTGTTTGCAACGTCGATCAGGAACCTTTGCACCCCGTCGCGGGCACTGTTGCGCCTCACACATGGGCGATCACTCATCAATAGATATAAGGGATTAGCACTCGATAACACTCAAAACTTACACTTGGATTGCAATTTGACTAAGCTTCACTTCCGGCATGAGCAACGTCCTGGGGTTGATTGCAGTGAACTGGTTTCCTCCCAAAACCCTGCACTCAAGCATACCACCATGAAAACGCGCAGAGGCACAGATACACGAGGGGAAAGAGTGAGAGGAGAGGAGAGAGAGAGAGAGAGAGAGAGATTTGGCTGGAAAAATTCATTGAAAGCGTCACTTTGTTCCTTTGGCAGGTACAGTTTAAATTCCCCAGATACGGGCAGGTTGGGACCGAGCACTACCAGTAAATGTTGGTTTGCGTAGTGCAACCCGTAGATAACCCTCATTCCATGTTGACGTTTTTTCCTACGTTCCCAGCATATTGGGGTCCGTTTGGACCCCAGTCATATTTCGCTGAGTATTCGTGAGCTCAGACCATATTGTAGAGTTTTTTTGTGCTTCTCTTGACGCATACTCGAAGACCCACTGCCTGTGAAGTCGGGAGTCCCCCAGGGATCTATACTGGGGCGTCTACTATTCTTGTTGTATATAAACCGGCGATCTACCTGACTGTATAGATGGTTTGTCACTATTAGCTGATGGCACAGCCCTCATTTAGTTTGACGCTGACATTGCACACCTGTGTAGGAAGCTTCAGAATGGAATCAATGTTGTTCATAAATGGATGTCATTGTGTCTGAAACCCAATATCTTGAAGACAGAAATAGTCTTTCTCCCTCAACTAGACCACCCTCCCACATTTACCCTTCCTGGATTTGATTCGGCTATTAACCCTTTGGAGTCCGTAACTTTTTTGCTTCCGCAGAATTTGTGGCAGACACGAAAATGCGCACTCCATTTCCAACATAATTTTGGTTCTACTTCACCGATTTTGAAGATCTTGGGCTCGTTGGAAAGCTCTTGATGAGAGAAATACAATGAGCCCAAACTCGCCAAGAGCACTATTCATTGTCCGCCACAACGCGCCCAAAACGCGAGTCCAGCTCCAGATCTGAGATGAAATCGGTCTTCTGTAACCATTTCACTGAATCTAGCTCGGAACTGTTCAAATTTTTTCGAGTAGAAGCTTACCTTGCCGTGACTTCGCGCCGCGCCGGTCCTGCCATGTGCCGCCTGTCATGAAGCTGGGAAAATCCCTTTTTTTCACGCACTGCTGACTCGCAGAACTCAGCGCAGAAAATGCGAAATGTTTGATCGCTCGCCGCTTACTCAAACCTCATCGGCGAGACTTCGGACCTGTTCGAGGCGGTAGCTGAGAGTTTTCTCTACCATCTAGACTCTTCGATTGTTGAATTTGGTCAAGATTTGGCCGAGAACTGAAAGTTTGACTGCGCCCACACGCATACAAAATGCCCATGGTTCGAAATCGAACCATGGACTCCAAAGGGTTAAAGGGGAAGTTCACCCTAAAATCAAAATCAGATATGTTATTGGGAAAAATCAGCTGAGTCGATTGGTGTATGTCTCGTCTTCATCCGGTGACTATAACCGGAGATATACGCAACTGAAATATCACTTTGATCCCCGGTTTTTGGCGCCGCCATGGCCTCACGAATCTGTGACGTCAAAGAGATAGAGGAGCTCCTGGAGCTCGGAACTTTTACTTGGAGTTGGACGGAGAAGAAAGTGAAGTCGTGAATGTCCAAGGCGGAAAGTCAAGCAGTATGCGGCCCAGAGCGGAGACGATTCAGGGTAGGTCTACCTCCTTGTCAGGAGATGACAGTGACTCCGAGGAGAGCGAGTTGGACGCCAGCGAAGGAACCGGAGTATACCGAGGATGAGATCATGCAGATGGCGAGTGCGGAGCAAGTTGGTGTAAATGCTGACGAAACTGCAGCGGCTGCTGCCGACACTGACCCTGCTGCTTGCTTAGAGGACTGCTGGCCACCTGCCGATCGCGTTGGCAATACGTCCTGGTGTGAATGTGGCAAATGCGTCGTTCAATTATTGCGGAACGACTGCATTTGCTGCAAAGATGTTCCGGAATCGGCAGCCGCGGATTGGTTACTGAGTCTAGCTGCATTACTTGCACCTCGTAGTTCGGGGAAGGCTGGAGCAACCAGCACGCACTGTACATTGTACTGCGTGGCTATTTGGGCAAGATCCATCAGCAGGCCGGATCGAAGCCATCTGAGTTTGGAAACCGGTACGTGCTAATAGTGTAATCCTGTCGTCGATTTTGCATCGGAGAACTGTATTTTCTCATCAAAATAAAATACTGTTCCATGGTGCAAAAATATAACCAGGATATTGGCTTGTATACTTCTTCAAAAATTTGTTGTTGTAGTGTGCTGCTGTTGCACTGAAATGTACGTTGACATGTGAGACTAACAGCAGGAAGATCTACTCCCCTGTTCCCCAAAGCAGCTCGCACCGTTACGCAGCATACCGACAATACATATGGCTGATGTTCGGAAAACTTGGCCGAGGAGTCCGGTGGAACACCTGCATAATGCATTAATGGACAAACGGCAAAGCAATCATAAGCTATCACTATTTGTAGTCAGCCAGGTGCTTGCGCGTGTGTGTCTGTGTGTAGCTGTATGGTGTAGACCAGGCTGAATTGTGACGGTCAATTCTTCAGCCTTGCAAGCTGTTGAATGGTGCAATTCCAGCACAAGTTGCTATGGCTTCTGCCGTAGCATTGCCATCATTGCCTCCGGCGATTGGCGTCAAAGGTGTGTGTGTGTGTGTGTGTGCGCGCGCGCGCACGCGCGCGCGTGTGTGTGTTTATAGCAAAAGAATAGTCATGAAAATGTACCGCCAGTGTTGCAAGCATATGTACGTGTGGATTTGATCTACACAGTGGGTACCATAACATCACCTCTAAATTTCCCGTGTGCTGACGGGGGTCTGTGTGCACGCATCAGCAGATATCATGCCATCGTCTGGACTCAATGCGCATGCAACTGGAGACCGAAAAGCTGCGGCATACGGCTCAGCATGGGCTTGAGCTAGGATCATACTCGCAAAATACACGCAGATAACAGTGACAATGCAACACAATGAAGACTTTCTTCGAATTGAAACTTGCCAAGCAGAGGACAGAGCTAGTGACCACTGTATGCCTTTTCACGACATGTAAAACTTGAATTGAAATAAAACAAAAATATATTGCACAATCTTCTGTCTTCATTCAATACTAGTACCTTGCAATCAACACACTGCAAACAGATTTGTACCGGTATCTGTAAATAATTTTCTCTACAAGTATACGATGTACTCAACACAGTGGGTGAAACTGCCCTCTCCAACTCGCGATGTACAGACAAAATTTCAACACGCTCTCAAAGCACGAAATCACCAGAACCATTCACTCACCTCTTCTCTCTCCTGCCTCTCCTGATACTGCGACATCCTTCGCTTCGCTGGGGGACGCCTGTCCGTGAAAATCGATGGCACAGCGTCTGCTTTCAGCTTTCGGCGGCATGTTTTGCCCATCTCTCCGTGCAAGTTCCTCTGGAAGGCATCTCCTCAAAATGTGCCGAACAAATTGCACAGCTCTCCTCAAACTTAGGTGGCAAATTCTCGCGGTGAATCGCTGCAACCCATTCCGCTCGGAGAGCTTTATCCCGCGGAATACGATGCACCGTGGTCCCAGGGGGCTTGCCAGACTGGTTAGAGCAGCCGACAGCACAGCAAACCGTCATCGTGGTTGAAACTGTTCAGGTCGCAAGAAAGAAACTCCACAAACGCCACTCTTTCTCGCTCACTGAAAAGCAAGCAGACCGGGAACCTGTATCTCTTTGACGTCACAGGGTGTGGAGGGCGTGTGCGCCGGCCGCATGACGTCATTTTGCATGACGTCATGGTAAATTTCAAATTCAAATATCTCCAGAACGGCGTATCGCACGGCGATGGGACCTTCACCACCGAACTCAGCGCCTCGAAATCTACAAACTGTGAAATTTTGATTTTAGGGTGAACTTCCCCTTTAATATTGTAGGTACGCACAGGCATTTGGGTATTGTATTTGACTCGCAATTGTCCTGGAATTCTCACGTAGATTTTTTATGCAACAAAGTTAGCAAATCTGTAGGTTGCCTGATGTCTCACTGCTCCCACTTGTCCTACAAATGTATTTGTCTCTTTTTATAAATGCTGCCTTCTTCCTATCTTTCTGTATGGCGCCACTGCTTGGCATTCCCTGCTTAGTAAATCTGCTGTACAGGCATTAGAAATACATCATAAACGTGTGTTGAAAATTATTTTTCGTAAATCCTCTCTATTCCCCTCTACTGATCTATATAGTTTGGCCTCCACCAGCCCCATCTCTATCCTGTCGCAGAGACAGTCATGTGGTCTGGTCCATCGTATTAAACTGAACATTGTCCCTGAACATCTCAGCAAGTATTACTTTCGCACGGGACACTCGCAATGGCATAGTACTTCCCAGAGCTTTGTCAATTATGTTTACCAAATCTATCTTTTCTGCATATTCGTATTGGCTCAAGCTGCCCATGGAAATGAGGACAATATCCAATATTAGACAGTTCAAAGACCATGTTAAATGTCATGCCACGTTGTAGGCTCGCTCGCCTCTTTTGCTAGCTTATCTTGCCACTCTCCGCCATGGTCGACATACTGATAAATTTCACCCCGCTGATGCATTCTTTTCTTCCGATTATCATCTTCTTTCCTTCTTTCTTTCCTTTTCTTCTCTTGCAATGGCTGGCTAACGCCACCTCCTTTGCATTGGCTTCTGCCATTGGACGGTGAAAAAAATAAAAAAATAAAAAAACAATTTGCGCTGTACGTACGATATGGCTTCGACTATTGAAAAAAAAAGACAAAAAGGCAACCAGCGCAAGCTTGTGGACCGAAAACTGGTACTACACGTACATGACCACACTGCTTTTGTTCAAATCACACTTGAAAATAGTTTTTAAAATAGTTCATCTTCGCTAAAGTCCGCTGTACAGAAGTTCGTCGTAAACGAATAATTTTGACGTGAACTGACGCCTGGCCAACGATACGATCGGCCCGAGTTCGTACTAATGGAAAGCTCGCCTTATCAGTGTTTGCTCTAACGAGGTTTCACCCAAAAATCACACCTCGGGGAGTGCAAAAATTGCAACTCTAGGATGTCCTCGATTGCTGCCAATTTGCTAGCCATGCTTAGAGTTTGCAATGGTTATACATGTGTAATATGCACTCACAGTTGTGTTAGACTGTTCAATGTCCGTAAAAAGTCGGCTGGGCAGGAAGTGATTAGATTATTTGCGAAATTCCTAAACCAGAAAGAGAGAAAGGGAGAGAGATTGTGTGTGTGTGTGTGTGTGTGTGTGTGTGTGTGTGTGTGTGTGTGTGTGTGTGTGTGTGTGTGTGTGTGTGTGTGTGTGTGTGTGTGTGTGTGTGTGTGCGTGTGTGTGTGTGTGTGTGTGTGTGTGTGTGTGTGCGTGTGGGTGTGCGTGCACGTGTGTGCGTGCGTGCTTGCGTGAGAGCGAGTGTGTGTGTGTGTGTGTGTGTGTGTGTGTATGTGTATGTGTGTTCGGATATCTTAACCCTTTGGTGCCTGACTAAATTTTAGATATTTTGTAGTTTTGGCTCAATTTTTTGGAAAGCCTATATCTCCGCAACCGTTTAGATGATGTAGCGACAAAAGTATGTATTCTGAATGGCAAGACACAGCAAATTCCGATTTTTGAATTTTCAAGTCAGAAAAATTTACAATAGGGTCAGGGTACTGCGCTGGTCCAAGAACATCTTGGTCGCCAACACCACTCAGCACGCCGAATCCACTACCTCGTCCACGGCCTCCGCCACGGCCTCCGCCACACGCGCCACGCACGCCACGATCAGCTGTTCCATCAGCTGGCTGAGCTCGACCAGCGCCGCGAGCAATTCCTCCGCGCAGCGCGAGCGGAGCACGTCCACGAACTGGCTGCGCTTGCCCTCGCCCTACAGCTTCTTGAAGCTCATCGTCGGAAATTTTGTCCTCATCTGAAGAGCTGCCGTTCTCAAGAAATTCACCGAAAACCAAATCATCGTTGAGTCGGTCTGCCTCATCTGATGACGGCAGGATTCCGTCAGAGAAAAGAGCGTCAGATTTTTCACCATCGTCGTCTTCAGATTCCTATTCTACAGGGGTATCATCGGCCTCCAGCTCTTCAAACAACTCAATCGCTCCTGCAGCATCCATGACAGAGGTCAGCTGTAGTAGCCATGAACTGTACTAGTCGAAAACGAAGCGAAACAGCAACGTTTTGTTCATGTTGCGCGACGCGTGCGTAGGCTGCCACGCTCGATTGACTTCCGCTGATCTGCGCGATCGTCGTTGATCACGACTCGACTTTTTCAAATGCAACCCCCCTACTTTCTCTATTGCTATCTACAGGCCAGCTACTGAAGGGTCTCTGTACAAAAAATCAGGCACCTGCGATGTACGAGACTGGCTCTGTGCTCGATTTGAGTATGCACTGTCAGCATAGGTCGAAATCGACCTACCGGCACCTAAGCCTAAGGGTTAATCACAATGAGAGTTGGGAGAGTGAAGTTGAAGACATCACCGCAGCTGGATATGTGGTTGATTGAAATGGTGGTAAAAATATGGTGGTAAACACACACCTGGCAATATGGCGGTAAATACACGCCGCCCACACACGCTCTCTATGCTGCAAAGTTCTGCCACAGAGCTCTCCTTCTCACCACCACCATCAGTTCGCGCCTGGCGCCTAGTCGATCCATGGTTAACGGTATCAAACATAGCAGGCTGGCACATAATATGGCGGTAAAACACCATATTAATCAACCCTAAGTACAGCTGCAGTGATGTCTTCAACTTCATTCTCCCGAGTCAAGCCCTGTATGAAGACAAAGAAGGCAATGGCCTGATGAGTCCCGGACTGGGACGAACGTACATCGCAATCGAGCTACGCCGCTGCTGTGTCATCTTCTATGTGCCATGCAGCACCTGATGTAGCAGCCTGCTATATCGGATACCGCCAGCCATGTGTCGACTAGGCGCCAGGCGCGAGCTGATGGTGGTGGTGAGAAGGAGAGCTCTGCCAGAACTTTGCAGCCTAGAGAGCATGTGTGGGCAGGCGTGTATTTACCACCATATTGCCGGGGTGCCTTTACCACCATATTTTTACCAGCATGTTTATCAGCAATGAGAGTTTGACTAGCAAAGGAAAAAATTATGATAAGGCACCATAAAGTTTTAAAAAAGAGGACCAAAGGTTTACAAGTTTTCTGTCTTGTCCAACACTAGCGGTTATAAGCACAATACTGTTGAGTCAAAAATGTGCAACAATTAGCACAAACACGGATAACTTGTAAACTTATGGTCCTCTTTTTTTAATTTTAATCCTTGGCTCACCATCCGAGTACCATAAAGTGAATAAAATTGAATCTAAAACTAGTACGGGCAACACTTTTGTATAAGTACAATGTTTTGTTTGGAATTCAGGGATCGATTTATCCGGGTTCGCATCGCAGTTTGCGAATCAAAATTCACTGGCTGCGATTCGCTTTTCGTTTTTTATCGCCCAAAACTGCGATGCACTACAAAGACCAGTTGTGTGCAGTCTACATGCGACTGATGTACACACTGCTGACTAGGGAGTAGTATTTTACTACTCCAACCAACTGGCCTGTCCTGCTCAGTCCGCGCGGGTCGCGGACTCGCGGATCGCGCTCTTTCGATTTTGGACACTGCACTAGCACTGGTCGTACATGACTGCAGTCTTCTGAAGTTTTGTACACGGCGGTGACTTTTCCTGATGTTCTTCTTTCACTGTCAAGCTCAGTTTGTTTCTGTTCGACAAGGCACAGTTGAAGTAGATGGTTCTTAGTCTCATGTAGCCAACATGTCAGTGAATCTGATCAGTGATTCACTGCCCAGAAGAGGGACAAAGAACTGGACGCGCCAGGAATGTCGATTCGTTTCGATGAAGAAAAGGAGAAAAGCGAAATTCGATGCGCTTTGCACGAAATGTCCCGATCGTTTGAGCGCTTTCCTGAGGTTTCTTTGTCGAAGGAATCAGTGGAACTGCCCTGTTGAAAGACATTGTGTTGTGAAGAACTCGAAGACGGATGGACGCTGAACATGTAACGTGCCCAAGCGAAAACTCTATCGTAAATATTCAGGTTGAACATTCGCTTGGAAAAGCAAATAGCAACTGCAGCTATTGTCCTCTTCTTTACGAAATCCTGCTATTGTACAGCTATACATGTAAACTTTTGATGAAGGAAAACTGCTAATCAATACTGGGAGTTGCTAGTCAATTGTAAAACTGTGTAGCAGTGACTGCTATGCAAAAAAATCAAAGTAAATCGATCCCTGGAATTAACTTTCGCTATATTCGTTAGGCACGGAATAACTAAGGGGGCGTTCGTTTTTGATCTACAGGTTTGCGTAGAAACTACTTCTTTCGGTAGAGGTGTTCGTTTTTTGAAAAAATTCTACTCAAAAGGGTAGATTCTACTTTCCTCTACCTGCACATCCTGTAAACTACTAAATCCGGTAGAACAGCGTTCGTATACTTGCCACTACCATCTACCTCTATCGGTAGAGTAACTCTACTCTACTAAACCAGGTAGCTAAAAACGAACCATACCAAAGTATTTGTTCATATCAATCCTTTAACAAGTAAAATCGTCCTCCTCACTCAGTAGACCCAGAGTCGAGCGAGCTGTATTCCCGGTGCCAAAAGGCGGGCTGAAAGCCCCTATATGGCAACTTCCCCATGCCTAACCCTCAAGATGAAGTGATTACTGACTGTTGTAGTCACATCGGATCCTGAGAATGTCCCCCAACATGCCAGCCCGCAAAGCCATGAACATCTACTTGACCCAAGACTCCCGACGCCGGCCAGGGCGCCCAAGAAAGACGTTAACAACCTGCGTTGCGGAGGACATCATACATGAGAGAGGCCGGAATGACTTTCTCCACAGTGCGGGATCTCGACCTGGCAACCGTCAGGCGAAATGGCACGTCATAGTACATTTGAGACCAGCGGGAAGAAGATGACGACGTCCACTAATTTAGTATATGTGCACACGAATCTGTTGTGTGTGTGGCTCTGTGTGTCAGCTATGACATCAAACCGTGTGGTTCCATGCCTAGCATGTAGGTCTGAACCATCCTGCAAAGTTTGAATGACGTAGGTTGAGCGATCGCTCCGCGAACCAGGCTTTTTGAAATTGTCTTCATAGTATTGGATTGGATTGGATTGGTTTATTTAACGTCGAATAACAAACAGGCAGTGTTGCCTGATTACATGAGATCGACTACAGTTACAGGCACACAAAGGTAAGGAAAAGATTAAAAGAAAAAAAAAGAAAAAAAGAAAAATAGAGTTGGATTTAAGACAGCAGAGGAAAGATTGCATAATTATTTGATCAGTGAGCAACGTAAGTCAGTGAATTGTTCAGGTGGGGTAAGAGAGCGGTCCGGAATTGACCTGGTTTCTTCAGTGATCGTATAGATGCAGGCTACTTATTCCAGAGAGCGGGGCATTGATATGAAGGGCTGCGTGTGGCAGCGGCAGATATGATCCTCAGGAAAAGAAGCAGGGGAACATCTGTGAAACCGTACACCTGTGTACGGTTCAACCCACGCATGTTCAAAGCGACCTGGAAGCTACGCGGATCACCCGATCCACATGAAAATTCACGTGCACACAGCCTATGCTACGTAGAGGATGATACACGGGTCGCTGGAGCTAGTTGCCATTTGAAAAATTTCAGGAAATCAAAGTCGAAGTTTGCGTGCGCCGTAACTTCCGACATGGCAGCACGCAGGTCGCTTGATGCGGATGAAGCGCTTGTTTGAGGATAGCTGGAGTGACCCAAGCGACAATCCTATGTCCTCTGATGAAGAGAACGAACTGGACGAAGCCTTAGTTGAAGGTGTAGACTCTGATTTTGATGACGACCCGGATTATGATGTCGTAACCGTCGACCCAACTGTCGGACATGTCGACCGCTCCGATTTGAGTGCAGGATCGGCAGAACAGCACTCGAGTGGCGAAGAGAGTGTACCACCGCCATGTCTTACCCGTCGTGGAGCAGCAGGGTCAGCTAGAATGCCGCAGCATGTGGAGCGGGAGCGTAGTCCGATCCCAGAGAGGTCCAGATCTCCGTCACCTGCGCGCCGTCAAACTCATGGTCGACAGCCGCGCAGAGCGAGGAGAGTAGCCGCACAGGGCCGCAATGTCGAGCATGTCGCCACTGGCGCTCCTCTGGCCAATGCTCCGTGTTTGCCCAACATGCCAGGGGTGCTACT